GGACCAACCGCCTCCCCAGGGTGTGCCCGTCGCGCCCTCCGGACACGCCCTGCTGGCAGGGCAGGTTTTCTCCCGTTCATGGCCGTTGCTATTGCAGGGGAAGGGGACTCTTGAATCTGTGGATTCAACAGCCTGAATCCGCTGCTGCTTTCCATCCTCGGTACCTCCTCTCCGCTTTGTTCAGTTACGCTTTTCGGTGGTGTTGGTTCCCTTTAGTGCTTGTCTTTTCAGGTGCACAAACCTCAAGCTCCTTTCAGGGAGGACTGTCCGTTTGGTGGCTTGTTCAGGAGCACCCAGATCCTCCTAAAGCCTCTTTTAGTACAAAAGCAAAAGTTGGTCCAAGCTAAGGTAGCCATCCAGCATGAATCACATACAAAGTTTTCCAGAAAGCCTGAGGCTTTATTATCATGCAGAGATCCTCAGGCTCTCACATTTTATTTAAAAAAAAAAACCCAAACACAACAAACTAGCAGGTCCTCCTGATTGAAAGGTTGTTTTTTTCTTCAATCATAAGCACTGGAAGTTGTTTGGTTTTTTTTAAAAGGTCAATCTATCATGACATCATCCTTCAAAAAAAGGGTAATGATTTTTCTTGAGAGCAATTCAAGTTTGTTGCTAAAACAACAGGCCTTCAATCCTGGTGAATGCATGGGGTTTTTTTTTGTTTTTTGCATGCATGTTTTGTGGCATTTGTGGGAATTTTTTTTTGTTGTTCTGACATAGAGGCAGAATGTGGGTGCCTCTGTCATTACATACATCAAAGTTATTCTGTGTGTGTGTGTTCTGTGGGTTTATGGTGTGTTCAGTTTAGTTTCAATACTTGTTTAAATTCATATTTTGTGGGTTTTTTTAGTCCAGTGATGAGGACCTTCATGACCATAGGTTGTTTCTGGCCATACAGGGCAGCCTCTGACTTGCAGCTCTGTGTTGCCATCTTTTCTGGAAGACCCATGAAATCTTTCTGTTATCATGTGATTGGAAGTGGTTTCTTTTTTTCTAGCCATCACTTGGCATTTCCACCCAAACTGTGAAAATACTCATTTTACATGTGCATAGCCCCATGCCATATAATGGGTGCAAGGCTGGTCCCTGTTTGTGTCTTCTGGTATTTCCCAGGGATTTATCTGCTGCTTGAGCAGACTGTTGCTATTCCATTTCTTGTCACCTCACCAGTGTGTTTGGTGAGGTGCTTTTGGTTGTAGAGTTGAGAATGATTTTTTATTTTTTTTCTTGCAAATACCTTTTCTTACCTTCATAATGGTGTAAGATTTTTTTTTCACCTTTGCTCTTATCCCCACATACTTTTTCTGAGTGAACCTGCCCCTCTTCCCAGTTAGTGCACTCAGCAAATATTATTTGTTGTGGAATCCTCTGATAAAGACAGTAAAATGTGGAGCTGTTATGGTTCTGTAATGTCTGTCTACTGTTTGTTGTTTGTTGTTTTTTTTTAGTGCATGCATTTAATGTTTTAGACTTCATATGGAAGCAAAACTCAAACATACTCTACCTCATGTTTTTGTAAATCACACTTTTCAAAATGGTGATTTTTCTTTTTTTCCCCTGCAACTACCTAAAATCCTAGCATATTACCATATCTGTTACCTGTATATCCTGAGCATGTAACAGTTCATTTTTCTGCATTTTAGAGATCATCTGGCAGTGTCAGAAAACAGAATATCCCAAACCTCAGCTTTATTTACATAATAATACTTTTTAGTTTATACATCAGAAATGTAAACAGTTTCCCTGTGGGGTTAATCTGACCCTGGGAGTCAACATTCTGTTAAGACAATTAAATTTATATTAATAAGAAAGGAATTGTCTTTAATCACAGAATTGTCATGGTTGGAAAGGACCTCTGAGATCACTGAGTCCAACCATCAGAAAAAAAAAACAACAAACACAAACAAACACAACGTACCACGCGCCTTCCAACAAAAAACACCGACAAAAAAACCTCACAACCTCAGTCACTAGAGCATGCCCTGAAGTGCCACATCTATGTGTTTCTTGAATACCTCCAAGGATGGTGATTCAGCCACCTTTCTGGGCAGCCTGTTTCAGTGCCTGGCTACTTTCAGTATAGAAATTCTTCCCAATATCCTAATAAGGCAATATACTTTCTAAAATGAAAGATTTAGAAAATGTAAGATGTCCTTACCAGTTGGAAAGTAGTGGTTATGGGCTTTAAAATAGGCTTTGCTGCTTTTTTTTGTGTAATATGCGGATGTGGATATTTTAACTAAGTATAGTGAACTTGATATAGAGCCTTTTCAAACTTACGTAAAATGATAGGTAACATGGTACCAAAGGAAGTTTAAATCCTAAGTTGGACCATTACCAAGCAGTCTGTGACCAAGAACCATTTTTTATTCTCAGTCTCTGCTTTCAGGTTTTTGGTTTGTGGTGTGGTTTTTTGTTTGGTTGGGTTGCGTTTGGGTTTTTTTTTTTTGTATTATGGCCTAGGATATATTCATCACTGCAGTAAGTCCCTGTTTCTCACTGTCAAAATAGATACTTCTTGTACAGAGTTGGGCACAATCTGCCAGGTAATATTGTGGGGTTTACCTTTCTCTTTGATATCGGGCACAGGACCAGCAAGTGCTGAGGGTAGAGGACTGGATGCACTTTCAACCTGCCATCACACATCTGATATGAGGGCTTTTGCAGTGTGAGAAGAAAGAAGAGGTCTTTACCATGGGCGTGTAGCGACTTCTTCCTAAATCTATTTCCTGATGAAACATCTCTGATGCATGCCGTTTGTTTGAACTAGTATTTATTTTCTCGCATACAGCAGCATTTCTTTTCTTTCTTTTCTTTTTTTTTTTTTTTTTTTTTGTGATTAAGATAAGTCAGAAGAGCCTCTAAAACTTCAACTTTCCATATTAATCTAGCATTGGGTTTTTTTGTTTGTTTGTTTGTGGTGTTTTTTGTTGTTGTTTTTAATGGGAAGGGTGTCTCATGTAAGATGTTTCAGGAATTTCAGTTCCCTAAACATTTCATGTTTTTTAAGTAATGGTATAACAATTTTAGCTTCTTTTGGAAATAATTTAGCATTCAAACTGAAATGTGTATGTCAGATTTCAGCGTGTGGCAAAACTCTTTAAGAGTTGAAGGAAAATAGCTGTATTTTTGTAATGGAAATATCAAGTCAACCTTAACGGTTCATGACATGGATATATGAATGGGTTTATAATTCATAGGAGATTAGAGAAGGTGTCTATAGCTACTTTATATTCAGAGTTTAACAGAATGTTTTTCTTGTATCAAAAGAACAATCAGTTCAAAAAAAGCATTCCTTAAGTGATGACTTAGGAGTCAAATTCATTAAATGAAAATATACCGTGTACACCTTGGAGATTTATGTTGTCTGCTCTTTTTCCTTAGGAGGCCTGACAAATAGGAAAATACTACAAAGTGAAGAGAAAATTCACTTCACAAGAACTGAGCTCGGCTTTCATTGGCTTATATGTTTTATTTGTATTAATAACCGATTAGTGACAGATCATCTCTGTTGTCTACTGTGGTGACATTATTAGGTTAAAGCTGGAAAAAATGAAACAATTAAAAAGAAAAAGAAAAAGCAATTTTAGTGTTCAGGAAACTCAGACTCTCCTTAAGGAAATCAGAAAAAGGAGAGACGTGCTCTTTTCAAAGCAACTTAATACAACAATTAATGAGATGAAACGGAAAGCTTGGGAGGAAATAGCGGAGTGTGTAAATGCTGTAGGTGAAGGAGAGCAAAGAACAGGGACAGAAGTGAAAAGGCGATACCTAGACTGGAGAGCACTCATGAAGAGAAAACGTCTGAATGCAAACATCAAAGTAGTAGGTGCTGGGTTTCACCTTCCTTCATCCAATTTAGATGACTCCCTCAATGAAGACATGGATGAGAAAATTGGTTTTGCAATTGAATCTAGTTTTGAATGGCAAAATATCACTGACTTCAGAGAAGCTGGTGGATCTTTAACAGAAATCAAAGTAGAAGAGGAAGAGGAGGATCCGCAGAATTTTGAAGTGAGTGACTGACATACATTAGCTATACACAATATGGCCTTAGTTTCATTTCAGCATGAGGCTTTTTGCTGTGTTTCTCATAGCATCTGTTTCTTTTTTTTCTGAATGTGTGAATTAAAGAAACTAGAAACAAATATGTTTCAGAGAGGTGGTATTCCAATCCAGCAACTTGCAATTGTATGTAAGGGCTTGGATGTTGATTATTAAATTGGTATCCCTCAACTTTGAGTGTGTATTTGCACATGTATTTTCCATTTGTATGTACCAGAGATAAGAATTGGTTCAGTCAGTAGAATGAAAATATGCTGTTGAAGGAATCTGATTATTTTAATACTTAGACTATCTGGGTGGGTGAACAGAGAAGAGAAATGCATCTGTTTATCAAATTAAAGTATATCTTACCTGCAGGTATAGAAAGAAATAGAATACTGTTTGCATTTCTTAACATTAAACCCCAGGAGATGAAAATACTACTTGGAATAAGTCATTCAGCCATTCCTCTCTGTCAGAATTTTAGTGAAAATTTGACAAGTAGCTGTGGTTCTTGTAGAAAGGTTGTTACTTCTAGTAGTACCGTGACTGTCTTGGGGTAGGCAGCCAGCTGGAGTCAGGTTGAAAGTTTAAATAGTTTTATTGTGCCTGTACAAATATATACGTCTCATTTCAAAAAGAGGTACTCAAACAAGTTTGGTTTAGTTTTTTTGGAGGGGGAGCAACTCCTGTCTTAGTTGAGATGTGTGCTGGAACAAATCAGCATAAGCTATTAAATGGTAACAAGACTACTGTCTGACAACTGCTGAATAACAGTGTCTGTCTTCTCTAATCAGAGGACTTGTAGTGGCTCTCATTGTTTTAGGACCTTCTGAACCTTTTTCTTCCTCAGTTTGCCTTTCTCTTGCAGCATACTTTGTGGGAGACAGTTATTCCATGTGTACTATGAATTTGTAGCACATAAAGGCTATAATTCATTATTTTTTACAGTCCACCAAGAGCATTGGTCCTAGCCTAGTCATCTGGGCCATAAATAGCTTTCTGGCAAATGTGGTCATACAAAATTGGCTGAATTTTGTTTGGTTTATTGATCCACTTAATACAGTTTAAAGGGTTAGGAGGATTTGAAACGTCTTTTAGAAGTGGAATCCTTAAATTAGGGAAGGCTGGCTTAGTTTACATACCACATAGGCAATGGATCTAGCTGCTCTGATAAATGATTAGTCTCAGCTAATTCCTGGTGGCTTTCATAAATGTCACTCAGCTATATGAAAAGTAAGAACAACAAAGACTCTTTTAGATCCAGTTTTCTGTCAGTGGTTCTGAATGCTCTGTAATAACTCATGTGCAGTAATTGCTGTATGCTCATCCACTGCATCCAGTGGATATCCAGTGCATATCCACTGACAAGCTGATTTTCCCTTTTCATTGCTAGATATTAACTTGCAGTTAAAGCATGTTTACCTGGGTAACAGCATAAAACAGTCTTTTGATCTGACATGGTTATTTCACAGCATGCAAGTTAAACAGTTCTGCATAGCTTTTAAGAGAAAGAACACAGTATGTTCTTTTCAGCTGTGTGTAACAAATTCATTCTGGCATAAAGACTGGAATGTAATTCTTATCTATCACGTTCCTCTCTGCAGTTCCCTATTGAGGAAGAAGAAGAAATTTTGTCATCAGTTTTGCCAGATTCGAAAAAGGAGAATGATCTACCAGACTTCCCTCACATTGAAGAGTTTGGAAATCTGAGCTCTGCACAAGCTAGGCTAGCCTATGAAGATTCTCACTTGCTTATAAATCTGGAGAAGCAGAAGGTGGAGCTGGAGAAGCAGCGACTAGATATTGAAGCGGAAAGGTTGCAAGTGGAGAAGGAGCGCCTGCAGATTGAAAAGGAACGGTTGCGGCACGTCGACTTGGAGCGAGAGAGACTGCAGATTGAGAAAGAGCGACTGCAGATTGAGTGGGAGAAACTCAGGTTAGAGACTCTGCATGCTGAGAAACCTGCCCTGGAGAATGACCTCACCCAAACAGAAAAACCCATCATGCAGCCTCTAGATCTAGAAACTGAGAAGTTAAAACTTGAAAAAGAACGTTTGCAGTTAGAGAAAGAGAGGCTGCAGTTCCTCAAGTTTGAGTCGGAGAAGCTGCAGATTGAGAAGGAACGCTTGCAAGTGGAGAAGGAGCGCCTTCGAATTCAGAGAGAGGGTCACTTGCAGTGAACGTCTTGACTGAAGTGTCAACATTAGTATTTTGGTGTTTGAAAAATACAGTTAGTTCTTAATACTGAAACTGTTCTAGAGGTTTAACATTCTTCTGTTCAGAGTTGAATGTTGATGTTAAATTGAAAAAGAAAAAAAAAAGGAACATTGCTCAATATGCCCGTGTGTCTGCGTAAGTGAGCTTTTGTGGGAAATTGTTTTTCCGTGTGTCAGGACTAAATGTTATGTTTTCTTGTCTTCAGTATTGTGTTGTATTAGTTTGGTGTCCTCCCCTTAGAATCATTGAGAAGAATCAAGGCTAAACCTTGTACTTTTTTCACTGCACCAACAGTAAGGAAGGAGCAGAATAACATATGTTGTGAGGGCATAGTGCTGATGATAGCCCACACAGTATATAAGTTAGAACACAATAGCACAGAGTAATTAGGTGATTGATTCATTAAGCTTAATTTCCCCTTTTTGGTGTTTTCTACCCGCACAATTGGAAAAAGTGTTTAAGAACTATCGAAAAGTTAAAGTACAAGTTGAATTCACTGCAGTTGTATTTACAGTTGTTCCATGGCATGAACTGAATGGGAGTGCAGAAAATAGTATTCTTTCTTTTGCATGAAGTGTTACTACTAGGTAAAGTTACAGGTCAGCCATATCTACTATAAGCTGGACTGTTGGTTCCACCAGGTCATTAGTAATATATAGCAGCTGTCTTAATGTAGCACATGGACTTACTGATTGATCACGCATACTGTCTGGTGAGTCTGGGATGGCTCCCTGAGTTGATAGACTTGGTTTGTTCCTAGAAAGACAGTAGCTGGGAGTCTTCAGGAGTGGAGAGACAGAGGCTGAGCAGACTAAGGAGCACTGAGCTTGCTCACTAACATGCCTCTGCTTGGCCAGCACTGAGGTCATGTCTGTGGGCAGCCAGAAGCGGTTTCTGTGGCTGACCTTATATAGTATGTTTTAGTTAGACAAATGGATATGGTCAGTGCTGAAGGCTCTCAGTATTTTTCATAAGCAATTAAATCATTTAAAATAATAGAAAGCTTGTTGTTTGGGGTTTTTTTAAATTATTATTTCATATATTTTTAAATCCCAACTGAGCCCAGCTTCATATTTCTTATCTTTCTGCAAATAACTATCTTTTGTTGACTCCATCTTGAAACTTAGGATTATGAGAATAGTGAGTCTGAATATAGGTAGAGTGACTTACATGGATTCTTGTGCAAGTAAATATATTTATACCACTACAGGATTACTTTTATTCTGCAAATAAAATGTTATTTTTTTATTACTGAGACAAGTGTGCTTCTACAGTGGAAATAAATTTGACTAAAACAATCAAAAATTTCACTTGAGGCTGTTTTTTCACAGAGAAACAGGGCTACATATGAAGAGAAACTTGGATACTTAGCACTGCAGCACCTTCAAGTTGCTGGTGCCATTATTCCCTGTGTAGTAAATCAGATGAGACACTTCAGAGTAGGATTTAAACCAACCAGCTTTTACTTGAGAAAGGAAGAAAGGATAGAGACACAAACCAGTTAGAGAGAAGTGTATCAGATTCTTCTTCCTTTATGTGGTGGGTTGACATTGGCTGGACTCCAGATGCACAGCAAAGCCACCCTATCACTCCCCTCCGCAGCTGGACAGAAAGGAGCAAAATAGGATTAAAGGCTTGTGGGTCAAGGTACAAACAGGGAGATCACTCATCATTTACCATCATAGGCAGAACAGTCTTGACTCAGAGAAATCAATTCATTGCCAATCAAAATCAGAGTAGGGTAGTGAGAAATAAAACCAAACCTTAAAACACCTTCCCCACCCCTCTCTTGTTCTTGAGCTTAACTTTATTGCCGATTTCTCTACCTCCTTCACCACAGTTACACAAGAGGACAGGGAATGGGGGTTGCAGTCAGTTCATCACATGCTTTTGCTGCTCTTTCCTCCTCAGGGGAGGATTCCTCTCACTCTTCCTCTGCTCCAGCATGGGGTTGCTCCTTTGGGAGACACTCCTTCTGTTCATTAACTTCTTCAAATTGAGTCCTTACTACAGATTGAAGTTAATCACCCACTGTTTTAGTGTGGGTCCCTTCTATGGGGAGCATTCCTTCAGGAACAGACTGCTCTAGCATGGGTCCCCTGTGGGGTCGCAAGTCCTGCCAGCAAACCTGCTCCAGCATAGGCTCCTCTCTCCATGGTTCTGCAGGTCCTGCCAGAAACCTGTTCCAGTGTGAGCTTCCCATGGAATAATAGCATCCTTTGGGCATCCATCTGCTCTACTGTTAATTTCCATGGGCTGCAGATGCCTTCACCATGGTCTTTGTCACGGGCTGCAGGTGCCTTCACCATGGTCTTTGTCAAAGGCTGCAGGGAAATCTCTGCTCCCGTGCCTGGAGTCCCTCCTGCCCCTCCTTCCCTGACTTTGGTGTCTGCAGAGCTGTTTCTTTCATATATTGTCACTCCTCTGTCTGGCTGCTGTTACACAACAGTTTTCCCCCTCATCCTAACTGTGTTATCCCAGAGGTGCTACCATCATCACTGATGGGCTCAGCCTTGGCAAGCAGCCAGTCTGTCATGGAGTTGGCTAGCAATGGCCCTATCAGACATGGGAGAAGCTTCTAGGAGCTTCTCACAGAAGCCACCTATATGGCCACACCTGAAAAAAAAATTTAAAAAAATATCTATATATAAGGGGAAAAATAAATAGATAAATCTGAACCAGTTCTGAATCGTTTCAGAGATTCAAACACTTCTCAAAGTGTGAATAGATTTGTATGCAATTATTTCTTCTAATAACAATTCAGCCTCCTAGGGAAATGATGCATCCTTTGGTTATACAAAACCTCTTGGAAAATACTGAAAGATGAAATTAAGTATGGCTATAAATAATTGAAAATACAGTTTCAACAATTTAGAAAAAAAATACGGAGTTTAATATGCAAGTTTTAAAGCTTGCTTTTTTCATACGAAAATTACAGTAATTTTGTGATAATTTGAATTTAAATGTCATATTTTTAAATACTAATCTGAACTCTCTTAAGCCTTGAATTGCTTGATGTACCAACCAGGAAACCTGACAGCAAAGCTTAAGTGCAAGATTTGGACCATGTAAACATCACCAAGGTCAGGACGCAGGAACTTGGTTCCTCTGTTAAAGAGGGAGAGATTTTTGATTCCTGTTTTAAGAGAAGGGCATGTGATTGTAAGTAATGATTGCCATTTGCAGACTGGGAACAGTTTAAGACCAGGAGTAAACCACATACACACATACAGAAGAAGAAGTAAGTATTTGAAGGAAATAAAAAAGGAGAGGGTTGAAGGTCAAATATTTAGTAAGAGAGAAGGTGGGTGAAGGTGGTGATACATAAAAATGGAGTACTGGAAATACCACCAGTGGTAATTGCAAAGTGCTTTGTCAATGTAATGTCTGAGGCACTAATGTCAGATTTCATGGCTCTGGGGACTCCCTTGGGTATGTATGAATGGGAAAGGCAAGGGGCAAAGCACAGACTGAAGAGCAGCAGCAGAAGGCAACAGGCTCAGTCACTCCGGGCATGGCATGTGGTTTCCTGTGCTGCAGCAGCAACATGCACTGGGACTTTCCTAAATGTCCCTAAGTACACTGCTCCATCAGGGGCTTTCTAGCCAGTAGTTAGGGCCAGAAGGCCAAAGAACAGAAGTGAAATAAAGGCTGTTTCAGAGTGTTTCTCACTACTAGTGCTGGGTCTCACCGATTTGTTTCTGGCTAAGACATTAACAAAGAGAAGCAGAGTGCCTCCAGGTGTTCTTACTATGCAGTTTGGAGGTACACTGGCTAACACTTAAAAGTGTCCTAACAACAGCCAGAGGAGTTCTGCTTGGGACGTCTGGATGATAGGGGGTGAGCTCTCAGTAGCACCCTCTCTGGCCATGGCTGAGGGGGTTGCCAGGAGCTGACTCCACATCTGTGGAGCTGTTTGTCAACTCAGAGAGCAGGAAGGCTCTTCTCCAAGTTGCCAGGGCTGCACTCTGGCCCCTAGCTGCTCCTTCCTGCACCTCCATCCTGGTGGAGAGGGGTGAGGGTGCTCCTGATGGAGGGTTCCATTTTCAGGCCTTCACCATCCCTTGCCACTGGGCCAGTTCAGCATTTAATTGCTCCAAGAGCTTGTTGGTCTCTGCAAGAGTGGTCTCAGCTCCCAGCTGAGCTCCTCTGGCCATGGCTGGGGTGTACCACAAGGCAGCTCCATGTCAACAGGATTCTGTGCTCTGTCCCCCCTGATCCAGGGGATGCTCCTGCTTGGTACCTGTAGGCAGATCCAATGAGAAAGGCCAGCTCTTGCTCCCCCATGGGCCCCTCAACATCCTTTCAGGGCAGGGGTATCTGAGTGGGTGAGCATCACCATCTCAGCTGATCCCATGTCCTGCCAAAACCCACCACAGGTCCCCTCAATGTTGAGCCCAGGCCCTGCCCAAACTTGCCTGAGGTCCCCTCAATACTGAGCCCAGGTCCTGCCCACACCCACCACAGGTCCTGCCCCAATGCACTACACGTTCCCTCAATGTTTGAGCTATTTTAGAGGACACTTCCATTCTCTCCTTTTACAGTTTATTAAGAATATTATTGTTATTTTCTATTACAGTTTTACTGTTTCTAATTTCCCTACTTCACACTATCAGTAGTTACATTCTGCACACTAGCAGACCGTGGAATACCTTGCCTTGTTACTCCAATATTTTCTAATTGCAACACTCCATCATTAGTCAACTGTTCCATAATATGGAAGGCAAAGTTGCTATTTCATTTCATGCTACATAATACAATGCTTCTGGTTCAGTAATTACATTGTGCCAGAATTGTGATCAGTCCTCAGATAGCTCATTCTTGATGGATAGCCCCATCACAGAGTGCATAAGAGTTAAAGGAAGAAGCAAATTTTTAATTTCGCTCCCCTGTCAATTTAGGTACTTGAACACAGCTTCTCAAACCTATATTTATCTCACTGAGATTGGAAGAGATTACAGAA